TGGACCTGAGATGAGGCAAAGGTCAGCTGGTTACTTTCTCTGCCTCTCTGAGTTTGCAGGTTTTCACCTCAGCATCTGGCTTCCGAGTCTTTATTGGTAAAATAGAATGGTTGGGATTTTATTTTATTTTATTTTATTTTATTTTATTTTATTTTATTTTATTTTATTTTTTAAAGCAAACTGACAGGGACAGAGAGTGAAGGAGAAAAGGAAGGGGACAAGGGAGATGGGCAGGGATAATTGTCCCAGAGGGGGAAAAGAGGCTGACTCAGGATAGAGAGGAGACAGGTGTGGCCCATAGGAAAATAGCTGTTTATAAAGGTAAAAGGGGAACCCCGTGTTAGGACGAGGTGTTTGATTTTAATTGGGCATGTTCATTAGGTGAGCCAAAGGGAGCTTTTGATTGCTGGATTTCAATACTTTGATAGCTGGACCTTGGTGGTCAGCCTCAGGAAGAGAAAGTGGCCAAATAAGGGAACAGACCTTGGTGTCTAGCTTTAGGAATATAATCTAACAGTTTTTAGCAAGGCAGAGGGCATGGGGGAGAAGGGCAAGGCATGCCAGAGACATGTTTGCCATGCAGGGGCTGACTAAATCCTTTATCCCCTAACCCTGTAGTGAGAATTTTGGTGTCTCTAAAAACCCAGTTATGTTTTGTGGTTACATTTTTGTTTTAATCCCAGGTGTGGGATATGGGGCGGCTTCAGTTTGTCCACAGCTGTTAACTATGACTGTCTCATGCTCTAACATGGTCATGATTTTTGCTAGCTGCAGGGAGTTTAGTTCTACGGACTCTGGAGAGGTTATAAGTGCCAGATCCCCGAGTGAAGCAGGAGGCTCTCAGAGGGAAACGGCGGTGGCTGCTCCACCCGCTGCTTCTGGTGGAGTTGGCTGTGGTTTGTCAAGTGGAGCACAGTGAGCCAAGAGAAGTTGGAGTTACCCTGACTGTGAAGACTGGACTTGTCTCAAGGAAACTGATGGCCCTAAGCTGCAGGGGATAGTCTAAAGAGACCCACAGCCCCTTTCTCCTCTAACCATCTTTCTCTCCTACCTAGTATTGGGGCATTGGAAAGGATTAGGGTGGAATAAAGGTTGGAAAGGCAGTAGATATATAAGAACCCAGATAAGATAGGCCAAAATACATGCCGACATACTTTCCCCCACCCCCAGGGCAGTTATCTGTTGATCGTCACCAAGGCCGCCCACTTTTCTAATTCAAAAGGTATTACTTGTCCTCATCCCTGGCCCTCTGTCATCGCCACTGTTGCTGTGAAGAGACACCATGACCAAGGAGGCAACTCCTATAAAAGAAAACATTTATCTGGGGGTGTGCTTATAGTTTTAAAGGTTTAGTCCATTGTCACCATAGTAGGGAAACATGGTAGAACCTACAGCACGAGTGCTAAGCACTAGAGACACTGGGCTTGGCATGAGCTTCCGAAACCTCCAAGCACATGCCCAGGGGCGCAGTTTCTCCAACAAGGCCACGCCTCCTAATCCTTTCAAATAGTGCCACCCTCCTGTGAACATTCACATCTATGAACCTATCGGAGACATTCTTATTCAAACCACCACACGCCTCAGTGTATTTTTTGAACACTGGCCAAAATCTCCAGCATGCTAGCCTCTACACCCTGGACATTGCCACTTTCTCTGAGATACTCGTGCCAACTTCCATTGCTGAACCCGCTTGTTTTCTTGGACACTAACTCAAAGGCAGGTCTTCCTTCCTCTTCTCCATCTCCATCCTCCCAGCAGCTGACATTTATAGCTTGCTTGATCCTGTGGTTTTCCCCGAAAACTTATAAAACAGTTGGTTTCCTTCTGAGTCATTCCTTCACAACAAGACTAATATCCCACATAAAGGAACCCTAATCCCCTGTAACACTACCTTTAAAACTTTTTACTCAGGAATAATCTAACAAGAAGCCTGGAGACCAATGGCAAAGAAGTCAGATTCCAAAATCATGGGAACTAATAAGAATAGTAACATTCTAAGAGAATATTTTATTTTTATTTGGTGGAAATATTTGGAAAATTTCTTAACCTCAAAATGACTTTAGTTTTCAATACAGGAGAATATGTTATAAATATGAAATTTCTTTGAAGAGCTGGGGTGTAGCTCATTCCTAGAGTGATCGGCTAACACACGTGAGACAAAGGGATGGGGAGGGAGGGAGGGACCGTCTTCCTAACCCTCTGAAGGCCATGCAGGGTGCTCCAAGGATGCAGTTTCTAGTTATTGCCCATGCTGGGGTGAGCTTTTTCGTGAAAGTTATTTTTGAGTCGTCCATGTGCCTGTAACTGGCCCCAACAAACTCTCTGGTTCACTAGATCAGATTTGAGTGGAATGTCTTTGGTCTGCCCTGGCTGCTCTATCTAGGGTGAATACATGTTCAGTTATTTCTAAGAACAGCCACAGGACAGGAAGGACAGAGGAGGGAGGAGATGGAGAAGGGAGAGAGGGAGGAAGAATAGGAGGAAATATATACAGTTTTGCATATATTGATTTAGCATATCGGAAGGAGCAGCAAGAAAAAAAACATTTTTTTTTTTCCTGGTTCTCATCCTAACTAACTCAACCTTGTATACTAATAGGAATGAATTGTGCTGCCAATTATCTTGCAATCTGGCAGCTCACACCCAGCATTTCAGCTTCATACACACACACACACACACACACACACACACACACACACACACACACA